CATCGATTAATAAGATCATGTGGTTCTTGTCTTTTGTTTTATTTATGTGATGGATTACATTGATTGTTTTTCTAATGTGGAACCATCCCTGCATACCTGGTATAAATCCCACTTGGTCATGGTGAATTATGTTTTTGATACATTGTTGAATTCTATTGGCTAGAATTTTGTTGAGGATTTTTGCGTCTATGTTCATGAGGGATATTGGTCTGTAATTTTCTTTTTTCACGGTGTCTTTACCTGGTTTTGGTATCAGGGTTATGCTGCTTTCATAGAATGAGTCTGGGAGTATTCCATCCTTTTCCGTGCTCTGAAATACCTTTAGTAGTAGTGGGGTTAACTCTTCACTGAAAGTTTGGTAGAATTCTCCAGTGAACCGTCATGGCCAGGGCTTTTTTTTGTTGGGAGTTTTTAAATTACCTTTTCAATCTCTTTAAATTTGTCCATTTCCTCTAGGTTTTCAAATTTGTTAGAGTACAATTTTACATAGCATTCTGTTGTGATTCTTTTAATTTCATTTGGGTCTGTTGTGATATCACCCATCTCATTTCTTATCCGGTTTATTTGCTTCCTCTCCTGTTTTTCTTTTGTCAGTTTGGCCAATGGTTTGTTGATTTTGTTGATCTTTTCAAAGAACCAACTTTTGGTATTGTTAACTCTTTCAGTTGTTTTTCTATTTTCCGTTTCATTTAATTCTGTTCTAATTTTTATTATTTGCTTTTTTCTTGTGCTCAAGGACTACTTTTGCTGCTCTCTATTTGTTTGAGTTGTAGGGTTAATGTTTTGATTTTGGCCCTTCTTTTTGGATGTGTGCACTTATTGCTATAAATTGACCTCTGAGCGCGGCTTTTGCTACGTCCCAAAGATTCTGGTAGGATGTGTTTCCATTCTCGTTTGATTCTGTGACTTTCTTTATTCCATCCTTAATTTCTTCTATAACCCAGTAGTTTTTGAGCAAGGTGTTGTTCAGTTTCCATGTGTTTGATTTTTTTTCCTTTTTCTGTTATTGATTTCCACTTTTATGGCTTTATGGTCAGAAAAGATGCTTTGTAATATTTCAATGCTTTTGATTCTATTAAGGCTTGCTTTATGGCCTAATATGTGGTCTATTCTGGAGAATGTTCCATGTGCATTGGAAAAGAAAGTGTACTTGTCTCCTGTTCGGTGGAGTGTTCTGCTTATGTCTATGAGGTCAAGTTGGTTGATTGTGGCATTTAAATTTTCCGTGTCTTTATTGAGCTTTTTTCTGGATGTTCTGTCCTTCACCAAAAGTGGTTTATTGAAGTCTCGTGCAATTATTGTGGAGCAGTCTCTCTTTTCAGTGCTGTTAGAGTTTATGTATTTTGGAGCCCTGTCATTGGGTGCATAAATATTGATTATGGTTATGTCCTCCTTGTGTATTGACCCTCTAATCGTTATAGAGTGTCCTTCCTTATCCTTTATAGTGGATTTTAGTTTAAAGTCTATTTTGTCAGAGATTAATATTGCCACGTCTGCTGTTTTTGATTGTTGTTTGCTTAATATATTTTTTTCCATCCTTTGAGTTTTAGTTTGTTTGTGTCTTTAAGTCTAAGATGTGTCTCTTGTAGGCAGCATATAGACGGGTCATTTTTTTTTATCCATTTTGCCACTCTCTGTTTATTGGTACATTTAGTCCATTTACATTAAGCGCAATTATTGATAGGTATGCATTTAGTGCTATCATTTCGATGTCATTTTCTGTGTGTTGTTGACAGTTTCTTTGTTCCACTAAATTTTCTGTGCTGAGTCATTTTTATTTATGTATTTTCTTTTCATCTTTTTCATTGTTGTTCATTTTGTATTTGTTGAGTCTTTATGTTTTTCCTGTTTTCTATTGTGATGTGTAGGATTTTTAGTTTCCTTTGTGATTACCTTAGTATTTACCCCCGTTTTTCTCAGTTTAAACTAATCTTTGGTTTGTTTGTTATTACCTTGACTTCCTCTCCATATGAAAGATCTATGACTACATCTTTTAGTCGCTCTTTTTTGTTTTAATGTTTTCATCTTTTACATATTGATGTCTGTTTCCCTATTTTCAGTATTTTAGCTTTCGTTTATTTTTGTGACATCCCTATCTGGGTTTATACCTGGTTTCTCTGTCCTGTGTTCTAGTCTTGGGTTGTTATCTGATGTTACTGATTTTCTAACTGGAGGACTCCCTTTAGTATTTCTTGTAATTTTCTTTTGGTTTTTACAAATTTCCAAACTTCTGTTTATCTGCAAATGCCCTAGATTTTGCCATCCTATTTGAGAGAGAGTTTTGCTGATGTATAATTCTTGGCTGACAGTTTTTTTCCTTCAAGGCTGTATGTATGTCATCTGATTGCCTTCTTGCCTGCATGGTTTATGCTGAGTAGTCCAAGCTTATTCTTATTGACTCTCCTTTGTAGATGACTTTTTGTTTATCCCTAGCTGCTCTTAAAATTCTCTCTTTCTCTTTGGTTTTGGCAAGTTTGATTATAATATGTCTTGGTGGCTTGCTTTTGGGATCTACCTTGTGTGGGGTTCAGTGAGCTTTTTGGGTAGATATTTTCTCATCTTTCACAATGTCAGGGAAGTTTTCTGCCAACAAATCGTCAACAATTCCCTCTGTATTTTCTGTTATCCCCCCCCCCATTCTGGTGCTCTACTCACTCTTAGGTTATTCATCTTGATAGAGTCCCACATCATTCTTAGGGTTTCTTCATTTTTTTAAATTCTTTTATCTGATTTTTCCTCAAATAAGTTGGTGTTAAATGCTTTATTTTCAGTCTCACTAATTCTGACTTCCATTGCCTCAGTTCTGCTCCTATGACTTTCTATTTAGTTGTCTAATTCTGAAATTTTATTGTTCATATTCTGGATTTCTGATTGCTGTCTCTCTGTGGATTCTTGCAGCCTGTTAACTTTGTCATTATGCTCTTGTATAACCTCCTTAAGATCCTCTATTGCTCTGTCTCTGTATTCCTTGGCTTGTTCTGCATTTTGCCTGATCTCCTTCCTGATATCTTGAGTTCTGTATATTAATCTTTTGTATTCTACCTTTGGTAATTCAAAGAAGTTCTGTTCCTCTGGAAAATTCCGTGATTCTTTGTTTTGGGAGCTTGCTGAAGCCATTATGGTCTGCTTCTTTATGTGATTTGATATTGACTGTTGTCTCTGTGCCATCAATAAGTTATATTTATTTTATGTTTGCTTATTGTGTCCTGGCTTATTGTTTTGATATGCCCAAATAGCTGCTTATGTGAGCTAGTCTGTTATTGGCACCTTTGAAGCTCTAACATCCTGTCACCAGATGGTTAGATCTGTTACTAGATATGTGAGCCCAGGAGTCCATTTCCTTTTCTTGTATGGATTCAGCTCAGGTGTCCAGGTAGTCGGTCACCAAATGTGTGGTGCAGGCTTTCACCTACAGCCCTAGATGGGCAGGAGTGATTGGAGTTGGCACAGGTATCTGGCTGTAGTAGGGGGTCATGCACTGAGCAAGGCAGTGGGCTGACAGCTGCCCCTGAGTGTCTGGGAGAAAAGCGTGTCCTTGTTCCTTAGAGTGTGTAGGTGGGTGGGTTTTGCAGCCGGAGTATGGGCACCCAGTGCTGTTGGCTGTAAGGACTGGGAGGTGTCACTTATTCTTGGAACCCTGCCACAGGTGGCTAGGTGGCATGGGTGGAGCCATCAGTCCTCAGGCCCCTGATGGGTAGGTGAGAACCCTGGTTAAAGGGCAGAACGGTATCAAATGTCACGAACCTGCCACTCCACCATGTAGCTGATACAGTGAAGTTAGGCTTCAGGTATATACCCTGTTGTACTGTGGTAATGAGGGCCTACACTGTTGAAATGGGCCCACATAGGTCTGTGCAGCGGTGAAAGGCATTCAAAGTCCAGGGACCCCTTATGGCTGTGCCTAGGCAAAGGTGCTGTGCCTACCCTGAGTTCCCGGCTTAGGGGAGCTGCCACATTATTTTTTCCTGTTTGTTAGTTTGTTCCCTCTCCAAGGCCGGGAGAGTGGCTCAGGCCACGTGACGGGTCCTACTTCTGGCCCAGGAGGCACAGCAGTTACTGAAGCCAGCCTGGGGCCCGGTGCAGAGCGGGGAGGGAGCAGGTAAATGGGAGAGAGATTCTTCCCAAATGGTGTTTTTTGATTCCTGCGGTAGGTTAAACACATGTACTTATCTTTTGTCAGTTGAACACCACTTTTCACTGGCTCTTGAGGCCTGAGCGGACCCGCCACCACTCGGTCTCTCCTGACGTGGAAGACGTCCCAAGCGCCACTGCTTGCCTTACCGTGCACGCCAGCTGATCTTGTTCATAGGGCACCGGCCACCGCCAGGTCAGGTCTGGCAACTCCTCGCTGCTTCCGAACAATCTCTCCCTCCCCCTGCCACTCAGTCCGATTTCTCAACTTTGCCTTTGATGTTCAGGGCACCTAGATTGTCATATATAATCGATTCACTTGTTTTTTCGGGTCTTTGTTGTAAGAGGGACCACTGGAAGTGTCTGACTACTCTGCCATCTTGGCCCCCCCGTTCTGTCACCCTTTAGAAGGTGCTGAGAACATAGGTTTCAAAGGAATTACTTTCTAACTGGTCGGATGTCTCCTTAAGTATACATAATTATTCTTGAATTAGGAGAAAAAATTGTGTTCCCACAATGAGAATGAATTAGTTTTGGCTACATGTAATGATATAACTTTCTTTCATGAAGTTCTCCTAAAGGAAAAACTTGGGTTTCTTAAGGAAGCCTAAAGTGGCGACTCGTTTTTGGGAGTGTATAAAACAAGACTCACACTGCTGTACTCACGTAACGTGAAAGCTTTTTACATTTCAGTGTCTTCAAGGGTAGGTTATGTAGTTCGAATGGAAGCATAATCAAAAGATTGATCATCTTTTTGTTTTTTCCCCCAGATATAAACAGAAGAGCAAGTTTAAACCAGTTCACAGGCTCTCTATGACGAATGCGACAGAGATTACCAGCTTGTCAGCAGTAAACGATTTCTATTCCCGTATCCTTTCACAGTTCCAAAACTGATTGATAAAAGAAATGGAACTCTTCATTCCACACCGGTAAGGTCATTGAGAAAAGTCCCTTAACGAAACATTACAGATATCGTGCTTACGGCCGGCCGAAATAGAACTTTAGAGATTTTTGACCTCAATGCCGGCTGCAGTGCAGCTGTGATCTCAGAAGCCCATTCTCGACCTGTCCATCAGATTTGTCAAAACAAAGTGAGTCATTTTTTGGACAGTGTACATCATTCATAAAATTATATTTTAAATAAGTGTTTAACAGTTACAGATGTATGATGCAATCTTATAACTATTTGCTACCAAATGCAATGTTGATTTGTTGTTGTTGTTAGGTGCTGTCGAGTCAGTTCTGACTCATAGCGACCCTGTGTACAACAGAATGAAACACTGCCTGGTCCTGCACCATCCTCACAATCGTTACGCTTGAGTCCATTGTTGGAGCCATTGTATCAATCCATCTCCTTGAGGGTCTTCCTCTTTTTCACTGACTCTCCACTTTATCAAACATGATGTCCTTCTCCAGGGACTAATCCCTCCTGATAACATTCCAATCCTTGATGTTTGACCTTAGAAGATATTTCAATAGTGTATTGGATGTTAATATTTGCACTTTTGTGTTTGATTATTCTATGGGCCCGTTCTTAGACTTTACTAGTGATACATCCTCACTGAGAACTTGATGGGGGTTTTGGTATTTTGAAGCAGAACGAAAATTGGATTGAATGATAAAAAAAACCCACCAAACCCATTGTCACTGAGTTGATTGTGACTCATAGTGACCCTGTAGGACAAAGTAGAACTGTCCCATAGAGTTTCCAAGGAGTGCCTGGTGGATTCGAACTGCCGACCTTTTGGTTAGCAGCCATAGCTCTTAACCACTACACCGCCAGGGTTTCCGGATTGAATAATAGTAAGCAGACTTTGTAGCAACGTGGAGCAGCCATGTGGAGGTGAATTGGTAGCTCCTCGTTTTAGGTGGACGGTACTGGGCATAGAGGCACAGTTTAAAAACAGGTGAAAGCTTAGCAGTGGAGGGAAGTGAGCATCCTGGCTGACTCATTGTTTATTATTGCAAACTGATGAGTTCCAAAGGCCCAAAAGAGCTTTTACGATGTATGGACAAACTGTTGTTTTTAGGCCTAAAACTATAATTTTGATTTCTGACATATGTGGAATGGCTTCCAAGTTAGAGTCTTAGAATGCTTTATAAAGTCTGAATTATGACTCAAAGATATGTTTTATTAAATGAAGTCTTATTAAACTGTTGTTTCAGTACATTACTCCAGGCTTAATTTAAATTTACGTTCACTGGGGCAGCTGTGGTTGATAAATCTGTCAAGCTCTGTAGCCAGTTAGGGTGAGAAAGGACGCACAGATTCTGGATGTGGAGTTAAATTACGCTGAAGCAGATGTTGTTCAAATGTCCTTCCTGGATATGTGGGAGCTAGAGGTGTAGGAACCCAAAGAGGACGTTTCTTGGAATGTAGAGGGAGAGGGTCAATCTGACTTCACATTTATCCATGGAGGCTGTCACTGAGCTGTTGTCTGAAGGGCTTCTCAGAGGAGTGGAGGCCAGGAGCCCAGAGATGGGGCAGATGGGCCCAGAGTCACAGTTCGTGGCTCAGTGATGGGGCAGATGGGCCCAGGGTCACAGTCAGGGGCTCGGTGATAGGGTAGATGAGCCCAGGGTTGAAGTCAGGGGCTCGGTGATGGGGTAGATGGGCCCAGGGTCGCAGTCAGGGCTCAGTGATGGGGTAGATGGGCCCAGGGTCGCAGTTAGTGGCTCATTGATGGGGTGGATGGGCCCAGGGTCACAGTCAGGGCTCAGTGATGGGGCAGATGGGCCCAGGGT